TGCAACAGTCAGCTCCTCCCTTCAATGTCAAGGTCACGCTTGAGTGCCAAAGCTTAACATGGTCTGTTCTATATATTTTGTGTGGGTAATTTAGCTTTTTCATCAATCAAGGGATTTTAAGATAACTTGGCACAAATGTAAACAATAATAAGACGACATGTCATGCGCAACACCTAGACCGCTACCTTAATGGTCAAGGTCACACTTGGAGGCCAAAGCCAAAAATAGTCTGTTACAGGTTATAAAATGTCATTAGTGAATTGACCACGCACGTTGATTGATGACTGGACTGTAACAGACCATATCCTGTAATGATTTTGTATTTGTAACATTTTATGGCTTTGAAATTGTGATAACAAGTATACAAATGTATTTCTGTTGGCACATACACAGGAGATATTTCATTATACATGTATTTCTTTAATGAATGTATTGTAACTGGCACGTAAAGATCTCTGATCAAAATTTTGCACTGGAAGTCCAGATTCATACCTCATTTTTTTGAAATAGCACAATTGTTTGCTTGGTGTAAAACTACCCTTAGGTGGGGAACATGTTAACTCTGTTTATTTTATGTTCAGGCTACATAAATTCTAAAAGCTTTTATTCAATAGATTGCTAACCGAATTATTATGTATTAATTGCGATTGTTCTGTATTTGATTTGCTATGTACTTTGTTAAGAAATAATATGTTACATAAATACATCTTGTCATTATTATGAATGATGCAATGAGTGAATAAAATGTGATTGATGTTTTCAAGTGAATACTTACGTAAATGAATCGTACACTTTGTATTTCTTTCTAAGGAAATGATATATACTGTGCTCCTCTTAGTTGACGGAACTTATCCTTTTGAAACAAGAAGGAAAACAAAATATGAACTTACGGTACAAAACATTGTCATAAGCTGTAACATTTAGGCATTTTCTGCTGTATGACACAAGGGAACAACAACATATTCAACAAGTATTAGTATTTCCAAAAATGCTTGGAATCGCCGTTCAGCCATGAATATATATCGTGTGTTCTGTAAGTACTGGGGGTTAAAAATAATAGCACAACCCAACGGCTACGTTCCTGTAGGAGCTAATTGAATACAACATGGATACTTCAAGTAAAAAGGTGAACAGCTAGTGGAACCATTCGACCTATGAGCAGTAAAGCACCTGCATAATCATTTGATACATTATTGCATTTTTCCGACCTGAACAACATTTTGAAATAATTACTATAAAGTATTCAGTAAATAGAATTAATTGCTCCTCATCATTTGTCATTTCTTTCGCTAGGCCTGTCATGCGCTTAATTTGAAAAAATATTTTTGAATACTCAAACAAATTTCGGGCGTATAATGCACAGTCTTTGCGATGATCTTGGTGTTATATGTTTTGAAATAACGTAATTATTTAATTTTAAAAGCGATATATACTTGTTAAGGATGATGATTTTTAAAATACCGGTTAATTTATCCATCCATTCAATCATCTATCCATCTTTATTGAAGAACAACCTTTCGAGCATTTGTGCAGGTGTGCGTCATGGCAAGAAAACAATAGAAGAGATGTACAGGAGAAGTAAAAGTAATACAAAAATGAATTTGTTAGAAATTCATGGCACTGAATTTGACTTAACATGTTTTTAATACTTCTGTGAAGTGAAAAGTCGCTGGTGACACATCCAACAACACTATGCTGTACCATCTCTATCTTTTGTATATTTGACATTTTTCTTATCAAAAAACAGGTTTACATATAATCCCAAACAATTCCACTATTAAATCCATTACTTAAGATGTACTTGGCAGAAATGCAAAATATTACAGACGATATGCAAAGCGCAGTTTTGATCTTTATCGGTACAAGAAAAATTTGTACACTCAGACTCAAAAACCGAATCTGCAATATTCAGGATTTTTTTTGTGATTAATGCTTCCGAGGGATCACTTTGTTTCCAGATATTTGTTTGAATTTCAAAATGTCATGTCCGCTCTGCCTCTTTTAAACCGATAGAAAGACATTAATTTTGTGGCAGAAATATTACTTAAAAAGGAACAATATGCAGAACACAGATTTGAGATTCCTGGGGTCAGAATTGCCCAATCCCTGCGGGATAACTTGATTTAAATAGACTAATAATATAGGAAAGCACAAGTTTCACTGTGTGAAATTACAATGTCTGGAGCTAGACATTTGGCATGAAGTATTGCCCTATTGACATTTACAAAAACTGATATGAAGCTACCCCGTATTGTCCTAAGGGTCACTTGATTTATAGAGACATATAAAGGAAAAACAAATCTGAGACTTAGTGTGTGAAAATATAGTGTCCAGAGACTAGATATTTGGCATGTGGCATCACTTTGAGGAACACAAAATAACTGGAATTAATCATGTCCCGTTGGTCAATATTGACCCTGTCCTGGGTGTTAATTTGATAATAAAAATTATTAAAGCAAACTACTATTTTTTGGTGAACTACGATACCTAGAAGTTAAATATTTGAAATATAGCACCAAGATAGGGAGCAGCAAATAAGAAAAGGGTCTTGGTAGGCGACTGATTGACAACCAAATGAGCTATTTTATTGACGTGCCACCTACTGAAAAAAATCTGAAAATATATTGTAAATCATTACTTATTGGACCTCGTTGTGGCAAATCGTAACGAATCATTTCATAGATAAAGAAACCTGTTTTATTTCTCCATTACATTAATCAATGAAACTGCACCATCAAATCTAATTGCATTTGAATTCTTTGACAAGGTCATTAGAATTACATTAAGAATGGTATTTTTATGTTTTATTTTGTTTTATCATAGAACAGTAAAACAAACTTGTGCAGCAGCAAACTTTTATGCGACATACTAGTAAAACAATACGTACAAATGACAAACTAATATTAATGCATTTTATTCCTTGACTGCACGTCGCTATTACATCAAAAAAGTCTAATTACTGTCAATTGACATTCATATTTGTAACAACAGACTGTACCTGTAGATGAAGTTTTTTGTCCTTAACATTTTTAATCCACTGGCTGTTTGTTACGTTTTGGAATGCATTGATTTTATGTTACCATTCTTTTTAACCATTTTTACATATTTGCAGAATGTAAATCAAACCAATGACAAAAGATCAATTGATAGTTATCATCTTTATTAAGCGGAATATTAATACATTTAACATAATTCAACAATATATCTCACACGGGTCAATAAAATGAACTTTACAAGTGCATGTTATGTGTATAATCATCAACTTACATACATAAATTTGCATTCTATATTAAAATGATTATAAATTTTGCTACTATTGCTTAAAAATCCAAACTTTGCTGCCAAGTATACCATTATTGTGTTTCAAGGAAAAGAATTCCAACTCTAAAGCTTGTTTATTTGTATCTTAAAAAAACAACATAAGACAACCAGTGCCTAAGTAATCTTTAGATTGAATCAAAGTTTTTTCGTTCACGTTGATAATCTTTATTTATAGACATGCATTACAAAAACACTCAAACATACATTTTAATCCTGCATACGGTTTGGTTTAAAAATGTGACTTTTGCTTATATTGTATCGTTATTTTTCAGTTTATGCACCATGTGAGTTTTTGTTAATTACGTTGCGGTTATTAAATGATTTAATGAATGGTAACACTTTGTCATTTTTGTCACGTTAACAAACAAAACATGTTACGATAACGAAACAAGAAATATTTTGTTATTGAATTCAAATGAAAACTGTTACAGGAGCATAATATATACAGACAAAATATAAATGAAACAAAAATTCTAAAAATTAGAATTGCAGTTACATTTTTCTTTGACTTATTCTCCATGTCATATCTTCATCTTGTAGAATAAAAGAATGCAATTTTATATATCAATATACAAAATACAAAATGTTATTTAATTCCAGTTCGAAATGAAATCAAAATACAGAGTAAACTTCAATATATCCGAAATCTAATATCATAATTCTTTTTGAAAATTCCACGACCTCAAAACGGTTAATAAGTTTGACACAACAAATATAATTTGTATAAAATTGATATATATGATGATTCAGTATAATTTTGTCGATTCAACACAAATAGGTAGTTACCCTAATACAATCGCATATATCATTGCATGTCTGTTATTGGTTTGTCTTTGTTTTACACATTGTGTAGACTAACCGACTTGTAAACAAGAACAACATATTACTTTGTTGTTGTCGTTGTTTTTTCATTGTCAATTTCATAATTTTACACAACTTGTATAAATCTTCAAATTAAAGTTTCAAAAACACACTACATATCACTATAGATAAGAGCTAACAAACTGATAAACGTTACGTTTATGCCAATTATAAAGACAAAACATTCGAATTAATTCTAACATGAATGTTAACAATTGAAACGAAAGAAAAAAAAACGCTTCTAAGTCATTTGTAGTTAATATTTTATTGGAACCAAGAACATCAGCAAATAATAAATCGGACTGTGATTAGAGTTATTTAGGAATTTTAATTAACATCACTGCTCATCAAAATAGGTATAAATTACAGGAAAAAAAGATTGGTCACTTTCCAAACGTCACACATGAGAGTAAAATATGAGATAAATACATGTAAATGCAGAAAGAATGGTCAATTTTGAGTTGTAAGAACAATTTTATTCTAATCTAACGAAAGAAGAATGTCGCTTAGCATGAATAACAATGGAAAGTAATATATTAAAATCACTAATAAATTAAAAGTTAATTAACTTTGTGATTTTTATTATGTTTATCAGATCATAAGAAAATCAGTACATTTATTGTAACAATTACGGATTATATTTTCCAGAGAAAGAATTTCTGTAAAAGACACTTTGGGCAACGATGTTTGAAGAATATGACCATGTGTTCCATTTGACAAATACTTCGTCACCTTTTTTAGCCTGTACAATCGCCTGTGCCGATGAACAGTCATAACCTCTGTAATTATATCCATATGCTGTTGCGAAAACTTGTGTTCCTGCTACTATATCAAAATGAATGTTAATACTCGGGCAATAACACATCTGTGCGAAAAAGGTATATATTCCATCTTTCGGTGCAGTAAAGACACCAATGGTATTGTTATATGCTCTTCCTTCATTAATCAGAACGTCAGCAAAAATCATAGTTTGCCCTTTCGCTGGACTGCGGTCAGTTACATTGTAGGCATTAAAGGCAACACTTGCGTCATCAGCTGAAAGATGCACAGCTATTTCAAATGATTGTTGTAATTGTACTAATTGATTGATATAACGTTTATCTTACAATTATGTCAACATGCTTGTTTACTTTAAGAAATGACAAAAAACAAATATAATGTGAATAAAGTATATAACTCTTAAAGTGTCTACCAATAAGAAAAAGATATTTGGCTTAAATTTGCGCAAAGTTAAAAACAGAGAAATATTCAGCATGTTCAATCAAATGTTCAATTTGAATGAAAATAATAAATTAAATATGTTCAAATATGACACATGATTAATGTATGTGATAAGAGATAATGCTCATGAGTTGAAACAAGAAGTAACTTACGACAGTCAGTATTGTTGCAGGTGTCTTGTTGCACAGGATCACCAACACACGATCTTCCATGTATTCCTGGTTTTGGATTTGTGCATGACCTTGACCTGATTCTTACTCCCCCTCCACAAGAAACGCTACAGCTGTTCCATGTGTTCCATATTGACCAACCTCCGTTAGGGTCTATAATAGAAATACACATTAATATGTATCAATTATTTTATAGTCTTTAAGATGTTTTCACACATTAGTAACCATTCCTGCATGATAAACAATTCCTTATGATGGAACACAACTTCTTTTAAATACTGCTTACTGCAAATAGTACGTAAAAGATATCACCAATCAAATACATCCTTGACTTTCCCCTTATTTACAATGCACAAGTAGATATGAATATTATGATTACTGTTTGTAATATTTTCATATCAATCCTATTGCATATACCTGACGAAACCATATGCATACTTACACACAAATTAGCCATTTCTTACAAATGCATTAATGTATCTACAATATATCACTTTCATGTGTTCTACGATTCCTCCTTCCTGGTGCTAATATGATGAAAGACAAATAATTAATCAATTAAAAAGAATAAAAGTATCAAGAAGAGTGAATGAAGAAAAAAGTAGTTCAAACATAAATTTATATATACACACATGTTGTCGTAAAACGTGAACATATAACGGAAGAGTTTAATATTTTGACATTAATTTAAGCTTTAATCTAGTCGTAATAGATAACCACACAAAAGGCAATATTTGACTTTTATAGAGTCAAACCGACAATGGTGTTGACTGACTGCATTTTCGCCTTACATATGCATACAAATATGTGTATATGGATGTACTTGTATAAGGAGCGCAAATGTTCTCAGATACAGCTTAGATAATATTTTTCATACTGAACATTTTAAACGTTTATTATCATTGGATTATTGTGACGTTAATATAGTTTTCTTTTAATAACAAGGAAGTTTGCTGTATGATAAATTCGTTACAGATATTTCTGACAGGTTGAATGACCGAAATATAAACGGTTGTTTGCAATATTACATAATAGTGCATAATATTTTAAAGCAACTGTTTAGATATGGCCATTTTACCTGTTAAAATAATTCTAACTAATAATCTAAAAGGAATTCTCGTCACATTATGGCTAATTTAGGTATTAGTTAAGGACATATTGATATTTGTATTGCCTATTTTGTGCAATGTAGTGATTTGACTGAAATTGTGATGTTTCGATAGAAGCCAAAATATTGCTAAAGCTCATGAAAGGAGAGCCTCGTTTTCGAATTACAACCCCCAAAAACCTCAGATAGCAGTTGCACAAAAATAGGCAGCAAAAGGGGAAAGGAGTGGTAAAGTATTGATTAAGTCAAATTATAAACGAAAGAATTTGTATGCAGATGGAGTGTAATAAAAATTAGAACGGTTGGAGGGATAACCGTTTATAATGAAATGGATAAAATGTCGACTAGTTAAGATAAATGAGAAAGCCATCAAGAGTATTTATCGGTGTTTAACGTACTTTATCCCTACGAGTTACACATTATTTACATGAGATCAAAACATTTGTTCATCTTCCAATGAGCATATTCAATTTAAAGTAATTCTTATTTCTTTTTAATCATTTTTATCCTGTATCATCCGATACTATATATGTTAATGACCTTTTAAGCTTTAGAGGTGTCAGTGTGACTTAAAACCAAACTGAGAAATCCGATTCTTAGCTTCTGGTGACTTTATATGCTATTATGGTTGATTGTCAGAGAGCGAGAGAGGGAGAGAGAGGGAGAGATAGATAGAGAGAATTTAGGATAAATACATGCTGACCTGCATGACGTCTATCTAAGACCATTGATCTGTCACCACAATAATTAGTATGGAATTTGCTTTTTAACATCATCCTAATGTCATAAAATTACCATAGAAATACGGTATGCCAATGAAATCGCAAATTATTTAAGTAATCATGTACAAAACACAAATAATGACGTTATATACGTACTTTTATCTACATGCAATTAATAACAAAAGGGATGTTTAAACATTATGTTTATTATCAAGATGTACATACCATCACATGGTTTTTGCTTGCATAGTTTGACATCCATGGATTCACCAAAGCAATGGTTGCCATGTCGTAGAGGAGACGGGTTAGTACATTTTCGGTGTCTCTTCTGTATACCTATATCGCAGGTTACGGGGCACGACTCCCAACTTGACCATCCCTCCCAACCTCCATGAACTGAAATGGGATCATTTTAACGTTTTACAAGAACAAAGTATGCAGCAGACAACGTATGAGCCGCGTCACGACAAAACCAATCCGCGCAGTCTGATCAGGAACCATTCTGTTCGCTATAAGTTTCTCTACTTGTTATAGGGTTTGTAGGCGAACAGAAGGATCCTGATCAGACTGCGCGGATGCGCAGGCTGGTCTGGATCCATGCTGGTCGCAAACCCATTATGTTGGTTTTGTCGTGACGCGGCTCACATATTTTTTAAATTTCTTGCTAATACCACATTGTACGCTCACATTTGTGCTGCTCAGACCAAACATAAATATATAAATGGAACTATATCAATTATACAAAAAAATTACGACTGTTACCTGGAAATTTGTAGAAGCAAGGCATCATTTTGCTAGTGCAAGACATTATATTTCTAATTGAAATGTATGTATATTTCTCATTATGTATGTTTTTCTGAATTAATTGCATAATGTTTAAATCAATAAATCATCATTTGTTGGGTGTATTTAATTTCATATTCACAAAATTTTCTCAATGTGGTCAAAACTTGAAATACAAATAATCAGTTAACTGATATTGTTTACCTGAACATAAAAGCCATAAAGTTTTTACCTGGACACAGCGGTCCAGTACAAGGTTTAGTGTCCGAGCTGCTCCCTTTACAATCTAGCCCTTGATATGCGGGTGCAGGGTTTGTGCATGTTCGAATGCGTGTGTGTTTTCCATCACCGCATGTAACGTCACATGATGACCACGACGACCAAACTGCCCAGTTTCCATCAACTTGAATAATTGTAACAAGCGTGTAAATGAGTCACAAAAACGATCGCACTTTGTTTGAAGTACATGTACATTGTCTCTTTATTTATCAAATCGGACGCATACTGGTGACGTGTGTAATTTATAACAATTACAATAAATTTATACATTATATAGTAAAGGCTATGCCTTTAAAGATATATTAGTATTTATATAAATATGGATAAGGCATAAAAATAATTACCTAGATCACACAGTTTGCAGAATTTACGACAAATTAGCTTAGCTCTATGAATCTCTTCACATATGTTGAAGGCCTCGTTCCAGAATGGACAATTATCTTCAATGTCACTGCAAGGGGGCGCTTATTTGACGACCAAGTAAAAAGGTAAGTTAGTAAGTATGCAAACAGGTATATAAAATACAGAAATAGACCATTTTAAGAGAACAATTTGTAAATTTAAATCTAAGCCATGTAGATTTGATGCCCTTTTTAATCTTAATTTTGTGTACAAGTCAGGATATTGTACTACCGACAGTATTACATTTTTATTTAATAAAAAATGAAAGTTACATATAAAAAAAGAATTGAATTAGAAACGTTTGTTGCTGTTTACTTTCAGTTTAAATGATGTACAGATTCAACTTACGTGTTTTGTATTTGCACAAGTCATTGTTACACCGACCAACACCGCAACATTCGTAACATTCCTGTATTTGTTGACCGTTGCTCAACTTTGACACGTTATTGTACACTGGTATGTTACCGCAATTCTGTAATGAAATGCATAATTAATAACAATTTGCCATATACCAAAAGTAATATTAACACGCAAGTTCTTTGCTCTATTGCTCCCATTACTAGTTCTAAGGCAACGATGTCTTAAATTCAAAGGACACTTCCATACGAAAGATGCAATTGAAGTCTTGTCTTTAAGGTAAGACCTTAATGCAGAATGATGATCAGTTACACAGAAATTTCTTGGCATTAAAATAAAACGTTTGTAACTGATATATATATAACAAACTGATATTTATTCTTGTTGTTAGTAACGAATTGTTGTAGGGCTTTTGAGCTTTAAACATTCAATGACAAAACATGATAATTACTCTCATTACTTAATAACGGTTTTCGGTAGAGTTTTCTACCAACACCATTGCCCATGTTTCTCACAATCAACTTCCATTTATCCGACCACTACATCATAGCATACCTTTCATTTTTGTAACTACTCATTATATTTCTTTCTTTGAATTACTTAAGATATCAAAAAGAACTGATGTACAAATTTCAATGGTACCTCATTTCGTGTACATCCCATTGTGAATGAAACAGAATCTCCTTTCTTCTCTAAGCGTGTGAAACACGTCTGTAAGAAACAAAAACATTTAACATTCATTTGAAGGCAACTCTGCTAGAACCTCCTATCACTTGGCTTGAAGTTGTCTTCCTCGATTTGACATCGGTTTTTAAAGAGCTAACTCTTTTTATCAAATTCAACGATAATATTACACACGGTTGAAGGAATTTTAAGATAATTCTTAATTGCTTGCATTGAAAATAAAATTAATATTGAACGAAACTCAGAGGAAAACAATGGAATAACTAGTCTACTTGCTACTAATCATGATCTGACGAGCCATGATGTCACACTTATGTTAAACAAAGGTTATTTGAGTGTAACTATTTTTGGAATGGCGTAGCACGTTCCTTGCTTTTAATACACGTGATATCCAAACTATACATGATTCGTTAATCAATATTGTACATATTGAAAAATATGTATGTATTTATCCTTTGAAATAATAGAAGAATATTGTGTGACATTAATAAAGATAACGCATATTCTTGGTAATGAAGTCATGTTATTGATGTATAGTCTCAAACTCCTCACAGTGATTACCTTCCTTGGCAGAGCCGAAGAATTAAGGGGAGATCACTGCGTGAGATTGGTATAGTCTAAGTAACGTTTGGAATGACGTGTTTGTATCATGACAAGCTCTTCGCACCGGTCACGTCACGCTTGTATTTGTGTGTAATTCTGATCAGGGGAAGTAAAGCTGCAGGTACTTTGTGAATGTCTGTGTTTTTGTGGGTTTTTTTTTTTGCTTTATAACTTCCCGGTCGAGTCCGTCAAACTTCATTGTTCGCCGGGACAAGAGCGATATTTGCTACTCGCCTTTCCGCTTACAAGTATTATCTGATAACGCCAACACGATACCATTTTAACTTAATTTATGTGTCCCACGAACGAATTACAAATAATTACCGTTTTATAGTTGTAAGTGTAAAGTACCCATGAATAAGTTATTTAAAAACATACCTCTCCACTTTCGCATGTTTTAACAGTTTTACAATGGTCCATACTTTCAACGTTGCTACACGAATAACAAAACAGGGAAGCTGTAAAATATAATTGCATCATTTTAAATAAATTGGATCATTTTAAATATAAACATTTAAAATTGAATCAAGTATCATGTTATTACACAAATAATATCATTTAGATATATTCTTTTATTAACGAGTCCGCTTTTGTTTAAGTATTTATTATAAAAAGCAAGAATTTGGGATATTTTAACTTTTTGTACCCTTTATTTAATTTAATTTTTTTTATATTATTTGAGGCAATTGATTTAAATCTTGTTTTCTTTTTTCTTATCATTTAAGATAATGCAATTCAAAGAAGATATTGAATGAGTATAGGTTTAATACATTTTGAATAAAATTATTTCATGCGAGCCTCTTGGGAACATTTTATTTTTTTCAACGAGTTCAATAAATAAAGTAATGAAGCAACACGAATAATATATTCTGTTTAGAACTGTTTTCAAAAAAAAAAACTATTATTTCATTGATGCGCTGACATTTAGCGCGCTTTTACGCTACGTTTGTATAACGCAAATAATACCACATCAAAATATAAGCACAGGGGTATTTGTTTGCATTACTAACATTTGTTAGTAAACAGGCAACAATAAACGAAATAAACTGTAGTTTGGATTATTTTACGATTAAGAAACACTAATTAAATAATTGTACAAACCGACATTTCCAGGGACAGCAACCAATAGAAGAAGCATTAATCCTAAAAAAAGAGAATTTAATACTATTATCATTTATAATGATATTCATATGTTGGATAAATGAATGTTATTAGATGTAATTTTATGTTACTGGAAATAAGTTCTTATATTTAATACATGTAGATAAAAGGTACATTTGATAATTTCATTATGAAAAGATATATAATTTAATAAAATTTCACAATTTCCTTTTAAGAGAGTGTTTGTCTATGTGGTGACTCACATTTATTTACAACCACACAAACACTAACATACATAAAGACAAATGACACAATAAGAAAATATATATGATTACTAAGGTTAACAAACAAACTTTTAATGAACCACGAGGATATATTCACTTATTATGAGTAAGTTAACATCATAACTTTGGTTTAATGATTAACAAAAGTATTTCATACAAAAGAATATTTATTTTGATGTTTTGAAGCTTAATCTCTTTACCTGCTTGGAGATATGAACAGCAATACAAAGCCAGGTCAGTATGCAAGTCCTTGCAGTCAGATCAGACATTTTACTGATGGTAGTATTATATTTCTATTTTGATTTTTCAATACAAAAAACTTCAATAAATTGTGTACTGTATAAAATGTTTATCCGGAAGAAAGTCGTGAAATCAGAAATTAAGATTGTAGTCTTTTAAAGATTACCTTTGTAAAGCATCATTGTGGTAAGTCCCTCACATCAATGTCGGAATGTGGAAAAATAACAAATGTATTATCCTGAATGTTGGAGTATACTGCTTGAAATAAGTATTTTTGAATGTTAATGTTCATCATTATTTGGACTGCACATTATAATCAGTTAGCACTCATCTTTCAAAGAATAACTAGTTCAAATGAATACAAGATCACCGTCGATAACTAAGGCAATTAGAAAACTATGCAATGCTTAATTCATTAAAGAATTAAAAATATAGCCATAACTGTTTCTTTGAAATAAAAGATTTGCTCTTTGATATTCTTATTTTAAAATTATATCAAATCACTTAAAAAATTGTTTTTATCGATTGATTTTTACGCCGATTTTAGCAATTTGTTGTCACATCTCGGTTGTCGATAAACCTAACCGGCTTTTCTGGGTACATTTTATTAAATTTAATCTTCTTTGAAAGTAACCATTTATTAATGTCACATAATTATTGCACCACATAATTTCAATTCAGCGGTGAAGCCAAATGCCAATAATAAATATCTATTTCAACATATCTCTTTTTTCTATAATTGTTAAAATTATTGAAGGCATGTTTGCTATATCAAGAATCGAGATATGGCAACAGTGTTGAGTGACATTTTTTATTATCTTTTTTGTATCATGTAAATAATGTAATTAGGAAAAGATGAAAAAGAACTTAAACTCTTACCTCGTGAAGGATCGAAAAGCCTTTGACCCTCGTACCCTGCGCAAGTTTTTTATGGACAATTCAAAGAGGAAGAAAAAATAGTAGTAGCTCCAGTGACCAATCGAATGCTAGGATGTTATACTCGTATGTATCCGTCGACGTTCTGAAGACAAAAAAATGTAACCGATACGATAAAACAGTCTAGCGTTCATAACCTCCAATTGTTAAATTAATCATATTTGTTAAGTTTTACTTCTTTAGTATAAAGCTTTTCAAATTGTGAACATGCGTAAGCTGTACGCAGATTAACTTTAAGGAAGAGCACTCCTAATGGGCACTATAACAAAGGACAGATATATGCCTTTCAGGGCCACCTGTATGCAAAATTCAAATAGAATTTACCGTGTTATTTATGAGTTATGGACATTTTTTCTGAACTAAAATTACTATAAGAAATGAGGAATGTTTTCCTATTGCTCATTGTTAAAAAACAAAAAGTAACATTAAGGTAACAAATTACACGTGCATTATGATTGTTTCTAAACAAACTGTAAGTGTTACCTACCAAACCAATTTTAAACACTTATTTCACCATTTGACCATTCCCCTATATACAAAGCCTTATTCAAAATATCCCTAAAATTTACCAAAATCAGGGGCTGTTTTAAGAGTTTGCCTAAATTTTCTTAAAAATATATTGGTTGATCTTGCAAAATATAACATACTTTTACTGTGTATTTTTTATTTTATTAAACTTTGAAAATATCTGGTATCATATTTGCAATTAAATGTTGGTATCATTCAGCAAAAAGATATCTACAATAATCATATATTCAAAATCAAACACTTTGTTTCTTCCATAAGGAAACTGAGAGATACATGAATAATGTTAAAAAGAAAAAAAAAGAAAAAAAGTTGCCCTTCTGGGGTTTGAACCCACACCCCTCAGTTTCAATGCAATTGACAAGTGATTCTTGCCTATTTGAATACTCTTCTAAGTTGAGAGGTCATACATTAGGAGTGGTCTACCTTAATATCTTAATATTTATTGTTTGCAGATAATGTGTTTTAAACAAAGTTTTAAATCACAATTTGGTAAACAAGAGAAAAATGAGAAATAAAATTAACAATATTCTGGCTTTATCCTTACGGCATAACAAATCTTTTAAGAAAAGTGCGTTTTCTTTTTTATTTTCTTTTTTTATTTTTTTTTTAAGTTTTTTAATTGGATTTTAAGCACAAAAGTAACCTAGTAACATCAAGTATTGTAGTCTCCAAAGAAAGGACTGTCTTTTATCTCGTGAACTATATGATCTTTTACATGTTTTAAATATCTTTTTTTCGGGTGTTGCGTGAGTAAAATTCAGAAACAAAAACATCTTTGTCTATGATCTATCTTTGTTCTATTACCGTGCTGACAGTCAATACAATTCACAAATACAGGTAACATTCCATCACGAAGGGTAAAGATTGTAACTCCAATCGTAGCTGGACCGAAATTTAACTTCCCTAGGCTGAATACCACCAGGTCAGTTGATTTTTAAAAAAAACTTAAGGAAATTATGTCAAGAGTACACGAAATGTAAAAAAAAACAATTCATGCTTTTACTTACAATTTGAATGAATAAACATTCAATCCCGTAATTATTCTTCCTTTTTTCATGTTTTGATTGCTGCTGCTAAAATTATGAAAACTGCTTCATTGTCATTTATTTGGGTTAGGGGAGACTTAATCCAACCGAATCTTCGGTGCTCGCTTTTTATACTTGTTTTCCTCGCTTTTGGGAGACATCTTTTCTGCTCCATATTTTAATGTAGTCTCGCACTTAATCTTTTTGTCGCTGATCTAGTAGATCATTGATTCTTTACTTATTGAACATATTATAGCAAACACTTCCCATTTGATATTTTTGATTCACATTACTAGTATGTTGTGGTCATGGTTTAAAGTTTTGTTCAAATCGTCATACTTACTAAAAACAAAGATAAACACAATAAAATATTATCCTTTTGTACCAGAATACATATATTACTTAAAAAATGCCTTAACCCAATTTTAGGGGTTGTTGCTTCATTTTTCAATGACCAAAAAGGACAGTCATTTAATTAAAAATAAGGCAGTTGTTTTTGGTTTTTTATGTAACTATCTGCATTTGACACTTCACTGTTTGATTTATTACATAAAATTTAATATCGCTGTTTCCTACAAGGATGCCGGGAAAACTCGCCAATTTATGCAAAATTAGTTCGTATTATTACTTAATGTTTTCCTTTGATTATATTCATACTGTCACACATTCAAGCAAGATATCACACAATATTTCATAAACTAGTACGCTTTATATCATGTGTAGATCTATATATCATAAGTTTCGCTTTAAATGCTACATCATATGCTTTAAGCTAGGCGATATATCACTTTTACGCCATTATCCCACAAGATTTGTTATAAATGCTATATCACAAGGAATGCTTCATATCATTTATCAGACCATAAATCACTAGGTTATGTTTAAATGCTATATCATAAGGAAATCTTAATATCACTTATTAAACTATATATCATTAGATTTGTTATAAATGCTATATCACAAGGAATGCTTCATATCATTTGTCAGACCATAAATCACTAGGTTATGTTTAAATGCTATATCATAAGGAAATCTTAAGGTATTAGCACCCTAATGCATTACCTCCGCTTTGAAGAGTATTCAAATAGGCTAGAATTACTGTTAACTACATTGAAAATGAGGGCCATGGGTTCAATCCCCAGAAGGGTCAACTTTTTTTTTCTTTCTTTTTTTTCTTTTAACATTATTTATGTATCTCTCATGTCCCATGTGGAAAGAAAATAGTGTTTAATTTTAAATTTTGAATTTATATTGGTATTTATTGGCTAAATTATGCTAAATTTAGTAATAAATATGGTACCTGATATTTTCAAAGTGTAATATAATCAAAACTAGACGGTAAAAGTATTTCATATTTTGCAAGATCAACCAATATACTTTTTTAAAAATTTAGGGAAACTTTGAAAGCAGGCACTCATTTGGGTAAATTTTAAGATTTTTTTTTAATTAGGCTCCCTAAGTAGAAAAATGGTCAGACACATGGTAAAAATGGGTGGGGTAGGGTAACTTTTTTATACAGATTTCATTAATTTTAAGTAGAAACCATAATTTTGCTTATGTGGATTGTTAGCTGAATGGTACTATTTGTTTCTTACCAAAAATTCATGGGAAAACATTTTTCATTAGAATGTTATTGCAGATTTTTTACAGGTTCCTCATTTCTAAAAAAGGGCCCTCATAACATCCTAGCTTGAGTTCAGAAAAGTGGCCATAACTTGATTTCCGTACGGTAAACTTTGTTTTAATTTTGCATACAAGTGTACTTTAAGGTATACATCTGACCTATGATGTCAATTCTTTAGTTCCTGATAGTGCCCATTAGGGTCCTAATACCTTAATATCACTTATTAAACTATATATCATTAGATTGGTTATAAATGCTATATCACAAGGAATGCTTCATATCATTTGTCAGACCATAAATCACTATGTTATGTTTAAATGCTATATTATAAGGAAATCTTAATATTACTTATTAAACTATATATCATTAGATTGGTTATAAATGCTTTATCATAAGGAATGGTTTACATTACGTTATTTTTCCCCTTACACCCTTTGTGTCTTTTCCAAAATTTTAGTTCAGTGCTTTTAGGGTGCCCTACTTGCGTGACTGGATTGTGTCGAGGGCTGCGTTCTGTGAACGTTGCCTGGCCTTGTTGATTGTTATAAATAGACTATTTTTGTACATCACTTATTAGGCTTTATATCATTAGATACGTTATAAATGATATATATCGCATGTAATGCTTTCTAACAATAATTAGGCTACATATATCGTCTTGGTTTGTTATAAATGCTTTATCATGAAATATGTCTTAAAAGATACATCAGGTGGTTGCCAGAAGGGGGATGCGCCCCCTTCTGTTTGAGGGGTTTGAAGGGGGCGGTAGTCCCCCTCATCGCCAAGAGAATTTTGGACTTGTGAGAGGCTAAAAATGACCCCAGGTCGATCATAAGGTAACGTGTAACCAACACTGAAAAGCATTTGACTCTATCTCAATCTCTTGAGAAGTTGCAGCACTTTGAAATAAATTTTGATGTAAAAAAAAGGCAAAATAGTGATTTTTGACAAGTTTGAGATGTCCCCTCGTTGCCATGGTAACAGGAAATTTAAGACTGAGCATGTCGTTAAAAAGGCAATTGTCCAGTCAACATTTGTGCCAAGTTTGATAAGTATTGAAGCATTTTTCATAGTTTCAGAGCAGTTTGAACTTGTAACAGGAGGCTTTTCAATGAAAACCGCCAATTTTTCACAATATGCTCATGGGGGGAAAGGGTTAAACTAATAATAAATAAAAAAAAAATATCATCAACTGATTCAAAACATGAGTATTTTGTTTCTTGATGAACAGCATGTCTGATTAAAAAAAATAATTCAAAATATTATAATATTTATCTTGATTAAATGCTGAACAGTATTTGCATCTTGCAATGGGGTTGCATTCTTTCAGTAATGGTTGCCGGTACAAGTCTCGGTCGGGCGGCAAATTGTTCAAACCCAGTGCACTCTCTAGTTTCAGATAAGAGTTCGTTTAAGAACATAAAGTAGAATAATTTCACTCCTTATCTGAATAAATGGTCTTATCTGTTTCTTTTTTGCGTTCATTTTCAATGATAAGGAAGGTTGACCTCATATTGATATTAAACATTTAATATTTAACTTGGTGCCATCAGGAAAAAATGAAAATTACGATATTGTGTGTATTCCTTCTAACGATTGTCGGTATGTTGACAATATTTGTTTTTTTTTATATTTATGATACTTTACGCGCTTCTCCGTACATTATTTCAGGAATGGGCGAGCATCTACCTAAAACCACTTAGTATTCGTAACATGGCTGGGATAGCTACCTCTCGTTGTGAAATAACATACATAATTAGGTCAGAAGCCACAGCGATGATTGGCAAGTGATTAGATGACTGTAACTTTTAACTAATTGATGGACGAAAAAGAAGAACTTCTATTAAACATGAAATATTATTACATTTGTACATTTATAATGAACGATACTTTTTTCTTCCTCTTTCTTTCTTTTTATCGGGCCCCCAAAGATATGAGTGTCTTGGTAGTGTTTTGCTACCTTTATGACACGTTACTGCATGGTCATTGGTACTTTTTCAGTTGTTAAGCTTTTAACATGCTCAAACTCCATTATTCAAGCACTATTGAACACATGTTTGGCATTTTTATAGAATTCAAAAAAAAAAAATATTGATTTCTGAGGCATAATGTGCCTTAAACATTAATTCAGAATGCAAAACTTATGTGGCTTATAAGTAGATATCTGAATCTCTCAATATCAAGTTTTGTCACCTTTATGGTCATTTTGATTGAATAACAAAATTACCAATGCATGTACATTTATATAAATATTTCTTTTTAAAATTTCAGGATGTGATGCATTCTTTTTTAACTGCAACCCTGCTTTGATTGATTGTTTTCAAGATCCGTGCATGAACGCCATGTGTCCAGCTTTTCCAACGGCCTCCTGCAAGTATAATTAACAAGCGCCTGTAGCATTAAATTTTTACTTTTTTCAGTCTGCGTATTTCTTTTGATGAAGTCCCAAAAATAGTATCAATAAAAATTCAATGATATGCTAAAATATTCTATTATATATAGTAATACGTTTTACACAACACGCCTCCAGATGAGCATAAATATTTCGATTAAATCAAACCTTAGAAAAATGTGCTAAGAGTTTAGGAAATGTATAAAGATTAAAAATTCTAGTAAAATTTTACATGTTATGTGCGATTAATGACCGAATTTTTCAGTATTTATAATTATATTTCTAATGCGTTACTAACGCCGTAAGGACTATTTTTGCATATTTGACCCCTTTAATGTAATAAACATAGGTTGTAAGTGTCATTGATAATGTGTTAATAGCATTCTTTTGGTAGTTTTACAATATTAAACTGTTAAACACATTTTTCAAATTTTCATGAAAATTAGCATGATAATGGAGGATAATTACAAAAGGAAGCGCTTTCAATGCTTTGCATATTCTCAGTAGAGCATTGTGAAATAATGGCGGGAAAACTTTCAGTAGCGCTTCCAATGCGTGTGCATATTATCTGCCAAACATTGTAAAAATACAAATAATGATAAAAAAAACACTACGCAATGAACATTTATCATGCTATTATTTGATATATTTCAAAGTAAAGAGAGAAAATTCCGCTCATCGCTGTGGGTCCAATCCTGCAAGGGACTTTAGATTCTTACATCTGGTGAATCTTTCCAGATTAGCTTACGGAACGTCGTTGGTTCTACTCAGATACCCGTTTGTGTCTGAAATAATGCATGAAAGGTAACCGAGGTCTTCTATCACAGTTAAGCTGAAAGTCGCCAGTCGCCATGTTGGTGCGACGCCAAACCAAACAAAGAAAATAAATGGAAAGAAAATTAATTAACCTTAGACCTATTGTCGTAAAGCCAAATTGTGACCGGAAAACAGATGTGCTTTGAACGGGTTGATATAAAATGTTATTTGTTTTACACAGGACTGGATGTAGCTGCGAAGCAGAATGGTACGTTAACATCAATCAAAGAGTTACTGACGCATGTTTTCATAGGGGATAAGAAGGGATAACACATGTTAAAATTATGCACATAAAAATATATTGAATAGTTAGTTAGTTTTTGTTGTGTTTTTTTTTTCTAAATCCGATTGTTTCATTAAAAAGGAAGAAAACTTAAAACGTTAAATAATTTGAGTTTTAAATGGATTGTTAAAGAATTGTATAATTTTTGTCCTAAAGAAATCTCCTGCTCGGTAAACTTAAACAATGTGCTGACCAAAAGTCCACACATTGGACATTTGCATCAGTGCGTAACAACATGTTTACTGGATAAAGGTGATAAGCAGATGTAGGAGCACTTAAGAACAAGAGCTAATGGAAGAAATTTTTGCATGTGTTATTTAACATTTATTTAAATGGTGGCAGATTCGTACGGTGACAAGCCAATAAAGAAATATGAGCCGCGTCATGACAAAACCAACATAGTGCGTTTACGACCAGCATGGATCCAGACCAGCCTGCGCATCCGCGCAGTCTGATCAGGATCCATGCTGTTCGCTATCAGTTTCTCTACTTGTAACAGAGTTGGTAAGCGAACAGCATTGATCCTGATCAGACTGCGCGGGCTGGTCTGGATCCATGCTCGTTGCAAGCCCATTATGTTGGTTTTGTCATGGCGCGGCTCATATGTACATCACTTATCAGTCAACCGATGCACGATAAAGTAACAACAAGAAATCCTTTCCAACTCTCCAAAACATCTCCCACGACCCCCGCCCACTCCCATCCCCATGCATCGACGAAAAACATCTCTCACGTCCCTTGCGTCAACAAAAAAAACATCTCTCACGTCCCTTGCATCGACGTAAAAACATCTCTCACGTCCCTTGCATCGACGAAAAATATCTCTCACGTCCCTTGCACCGACAATAAAACATCTCTCACGCCCTCCTTGCATTGACGAAAAACATCTCTCACCCTCTTGCATCGACGAAAAAAAAATCTCTCACGTCCCTTGCACCGACAATAAAACATCTCTCACGCCCTCCTTGCATCGACGAAAATAAAACATCTCTCACGTCCCTTGCACCGACAATAAAACATCTCTCACGTCCCTTGCACTGACAATTAAACATCTCTCACGCCCCTTGCACCGACAATAAAACATCTCTCACGCCCTTGCACCAACAATAAAACATCTCTCACGTCCCTTACACAGACAATAAAACATCTCTCACGCCATCTTTGCATCGACGAAAAAACATCTCTCACGCCTCTTGCATCGACTAAAAACATATCTCACCGCCTTGCATCGACGAAAAACATCTTTCACGCCCCTTGCACCGCCAAGAAAATATCTCTCACGCCCTCCTTGCATCGACGAAAAAAACATCTCTCACGTCCCTTGCGCCGACAATTAAACATCTCTCACGCCCCTTGCAACGACAATAAAACATCTCTCACGCCCTTGCACCGACAATAAAACATCTCTCACGTCCCTTGCACCGACAATAAAACATCTCTCACGCCCTCTTTGCATCGACGAAAAAACATCTCTCACGCCTCTTGCATCGACTAAAAACATCTCTCATCGCCTTGCATCGACGAAAAAAACATCTCTCACGTCCCTTGCATCGACAAAACAACATTTCTCACGCCCTCCTTGCATCGACGAAAAACATCTCTCACGCCCTTCTTACATCGACGATAAAACATCTCGCGTCCCTTGCATAAACGAAAAAACATCTTGCATGCCCTTTGCATAGACGAAAACAATGTAATTAATGTAATTAATGTCAAATTGAAACACGTACATGTATTTAATCAATATATTTAATCAGTTTCAGTTAAATAATATCAAGACGGTGCTTTATTCCAGTTATATCGATGTGTTCTAGGGCGATACGTTGAATTAGCGCACAAGGTATCTGGCGACAATAAAGCTTGCCATGTCTTGTACATTGAAGATGGTTTCATATTCGTCTGAGAAACACGTTCTGTTTTCACAAACTCGCACGGATCTGGAGCCTCCTCGGTCCAGAACGAATTTCCGTTAATTCGTTCGAGATTTGCACCGAGTATTTTCCCTGCAATAATACCCGTGATAAAAGCGTCTTCAATGTGCAAATACGGCAAATGCTGGGCTATTTCAACTATTTTTGGCACCAAGTTCCCTGTTATTGTGTATGACGTTCCTTGTGCATAAGGCGGATATCTTCGCAAAGGGTACTCCGATTCATTTACACCCCATTTTCCAGTTTTTAACACTTTCAGGCCATAGTACGATGAGTGGATGAATCCAAAAACAGACCCTTTTGTTGATACGCGATAAGTTCTTAACTCTGCCAAAAGCAATTGTATATTAACAAATACGTCTTCATCTGCTTTTAGTACATATCTAACTCCTTGGCAATATGTGTTTACCCACTTAAGACCATATAAAACCTTAAGAGTAAGGTTGTAGTAGGAATCTATGAAATCCGCCTGCACAATATCGCTGTGTTTCCTCTGCTCTTTTCTGACGTCATAATCAACCGATTGGTTTGGACTCCTGCCAAGAAGGAACGCGATTTGTACCGGATGTTGCATTCCGAATCGCTGTAAGTCTGAAGGGGTGTAACGTGCAATTAATCCGTAAGTTGACCTTATCGCGGTACGAATATATCCGTTTGATGGAATTGATGGAATCAATACAATCAGTTCGGGCACTTCTGAACACACTGATTTATTTTCAATTAAAAACTTTGAGTTCAAAACCGTGAGTTTGCTTTTGGACATGTTATAGTAGCTCTGCATCTTTTTAATTTCCTCTTCGATGGCAGGAAGAGGTTCATCAATATCTATACTCCTGTCATATACGTGTGCTTTCCTTCTTTCTAACTTAAACAACATCTCTTCTTTTCTTCTCTCAAAGCGATCTTTCCGGTCGAATTCTAGTTCGCGTTCGAAATCATATTTACTGTTTAACCCCGTTTTAATTACTGGAATCGAATTATATGGTAGGTCTTCTTTCACTCCATTATGTTTATTTATAATCATACGGAGGCGGTCATTGATGCAATATTTCTTCAATTCATCTCGTACGTCATTCCGGCAAGCAAACGGAAGAGTTATTGAGACAATAACAATAAACGAAATTTTTATTATCAGCAATCTACAGCGAAATTTCTTCTTCATCATCTAAAACATTGTTAGTTTTTTTTCTTGGAGCATTCAATCAAAGTCGATATTACTCCTTTCTTTTTTATCCTTTAATTAAATCCTAGGCTGTTATTTCATTTCTGTTATTTCATGTGCTATTCTAACACTAAAAATGCTTACTTCACAAACTTGCACAATTTATATAGAAATACTATTACTTATTTTCTTCCTGACAGCAAAACTATTTTTATTCAACTTGAAAAAGTCCCTGTCCCGTTTATCCATTAAGGTATCCTTTTTCGAGTGTTTTTCTTTCTTTTTCTTTCTATTTTGCTTTTTATTCACGTTTGAAAAATAACACTAGCATTGCATATACAAAAGCACCTACATTATGTATACAGTTTTGTTATACACAATACATAATTAAAGATACATTTTTTTAATATCATATGTTTATACAATTAAGCGCATCTAATTTATTAATGCCATTTCATACAATAAGATACCGATTAAATCAATGTTAGCAATTATGTAAAACAAAAAGGTCAATAATTGTAGATTAGATAATCAATACAGTATCGATCTATAACCAATATCTGATTGTATTATTAATATGTCAATCAGCTTTGTCAAATTAATAGCAGACGATCACAAGGTAAATGACTTTTTATATCATACATGAATTAATTGAAATAATGAATTAAAGGCCCATTAAGCCTAAAAATGCTGATATTTTATTTCTTTATTTATTTATCTACTTAGATCTATTTACTTCTTTATTTATTTATTTATTTATTTTTCATGTATTTATTTATTTATTATTTATTTATTCTTTCATTCATTCAATTATTTTATTTATCTATTAATTTATATATTTATCTATCTATTTGTTTATTTGTATTTATTTAATTTTTTAATTTTTATTTATTTATTTATTTATTTATTTATTTATTTATTTATTTATTCATTAATTTATTTATTCATTTTGACCAGTTGCTAAAAAGATACTAACTGGAGATATAGCATAGACATCTTTTGCATTTTTTATGCGTTTTGGAATTAAGTGCATTTATAGTGAGCACTTTGTATGGGGGTCAAAATACCAGTTTGTTTCCATTTTGCTACTTTCATCGCAAATTATTTCATATCCACTGCTATATATTCTGTTCAAGTGATAAGTGATCCTACATATACTTAGTCCATTATAACAACATTATAAAACACATGTCTGTCTATATTCTACAGAAAGAGAAAATTCAATTACTCATTTTTAATGAACCATCTCCAAAGAAGTATACTAGGAAAAGGTAAAGTAACTGAGAAATTGATGCACAAAATACGTAAACTTAGGCTTCTTAAAATATGAAAATATGTTGTATAGAGGATATCAAATGAGCGTAGGTTCAATACTGTATTTATAGAACGAATTGCTGCAAATAGAACTGCAATCAGAACTGGCATCCTTATGACTGTTTTTAAAGATCCTGTATGTTGTAATTAAGGTTTTAACCATACAAAACTGAAATTTTATATATGTTCTAAAACAAGATTTATGATTTTTAAACACAAGAGAGTGACTGTTGGTTACAGAATTTATTTTAGTCTTATTTCCGAGATATCAGATATGCACGGTTAAAGATCCATACCGTCGAGAGTTTGGTTACTGTGATAAAATACGTTTTAAATACGTTTCAATTTCTGTTAAGATATACGTGATTTAAGTAAAACTGTACTAATTAAATAAAAATAGATTATTAAAAATAAGAAAGACAAAGAAAGAAGATATTTGTATAGGTATAACAAGTGGCAATTTGTCAAACTTGGTCTGCCGCTGGGCTGAAAATGTTTACAGTGGAATGACTGGTAGACTTTCTCCCAATAATCACCTTCATGTAAGGGGATGTATAGGTGAAAACATTTGACCCCGTTCGAATAGAAAGGGTTAACCAGTGATGCGTGTTAATGGTCGCACGGTCACTTTGCTTTCATGTCCCTGATGCGTGTATGTGGTCGCACGGTCAGACAATTCAAAAAGTAATCATTTTAGTATTTCATAAGGCACAATGAAATTTCATTACTTACTACAAATTTCTCACGCCACACCGAAATATTTACCACTAAACGTTTCTTGTGACAATGTGAAACATTACACATACATATGGCACTTTTGATATCTCTTAATATATCCCAGTGCATTCTACTCACATCATTTTTTTGAGAAAATAATCCACTTGATACCATCCATGCCATTTGAGAAGAACATTACCTACTTCATACCAGTCATACAACTACGGAACATTACCCACTACATGCCTCAAAAAAATATTACCTAGCTACATGCCACTTAAGAACATTACCCACTTCATACCACTATAGAACCTTACCACTACATACCACCATAGAAGATTACCCACTACATGCCACTATAGATCCTTACCAATACATACCACTATAGAACATTACCACTATAGAAAATTACCCACTATATGCCACTATAGAGCATTACCCACTACATGTCCTAGAGAACATAACCCACTACATGTCACTATAGAACATTACCCACTTCATACCACTATACTATAGAACATTACCCACTACATGTCACTATAGAAAATTACCCACTTCATACCGAACATTACCCACTTCATACCACTATAGAACATTACCCACTTAATACCACTCATACCACTACAGAACATTACCCACTTCATACAACTACAGAACATTACCATTATTCACCACAAGGAAGGTTGAACACTTTATACTACTTAATAGATAACAAGTTCCACACCACAACTTGGACAATGTTTTGAACTTAAAGGCTCAGTCCAAAAATTATAAAATTGGCTTTCAAATTCATATACATTGCATTGTTAACAAAATTGATGTAATCAAAAGAAAGAACATTAAAGCCCCCCAGCAATTCTTTAATTCCTTTTCTCAAAAAGTTTATATTTTTGCTGTTCTGTGATAGTTAAACAGTATACAGTTATTTCATATGTCATTTGGGAAAAGACAAATTGTTGGCCCGAGGTGGAGGGGGTATTGTTTTGAACTGTTGTCAAAGGTGTAGGCTGAGGGCAACAGTTCTAAACACTATCGCCGACACCGAGGGGCAACTGTTTGACTGTTTCCAAATCACATATGAAATAACTGTTTTATTACCTGGCCAATTACTGTTTTAACAGTTCTTGCAGAAGAAAAAAGGAACAAGAAAATAGTTTTGCAAATTTGTGAATAATAAATCTTTCTCATTTAACAATATTTAAATATGTCACATCACGTCTGGTAGGGAATCCTCTATGACGTCCGAGCACGCAAGGGAAACAGTCAAAACTATTGATTGGTCAACAGTTTGCAAATGTTGTTTTTAGAATTTCAGAAAACAGTGAAAAATACCAAATTATATTTATATAAGGTATCAGGTAATGATACTCACTATCACTTACTTAAATCATCTTTTTTTGCCATAAATGCTGTTATAGAGATTTACTGTTATGCATGGAAGTCAGAATATAACTGTTTACATTTTACTACAGTCGACTCTCGTTATCTCGAAGTCATCGGGACCGTCCAAAAAATATCGAGATAACGATATGTCGAGATAAACGCTTTAGGGTTTGAACGAGATAAAAACTGATATTTACAAAAGACATGTGCATACCTAAAGTCAAATAAGCTAAGTACGATATCTCCATTCTATTCACATTCAGTACCACTGTCCTCAGGTGAACAGCATCTAACATGCTCTAAACTATTATTTACATATTATAAAACTCATGTTTGTGCTTTCTAAAGACGTAAAAAATTATTCGCATCCAAGGTATAATGTGCCTTGATCACACTCGTATATCATGCAGTAAAAAATGTTATTTTTATCTATGATAAAAGTTTTTTTGGTTTTTTTTTGTTTGTTTTTTTTTTTGGGGGGGGGGGGGGGGCAGTTGTGATTTCTTTCACACTTGGTGTGCCAGACAGCCTGCAAAAATTACAAATAATAACAATAAAAGAAAACAAAAAACTTTTAATCTTGCACCATACATTTATTAATAGTCGTCATCAAATAACATAAAGCATTTATAATACAAATAATCAGAAAATCAGAAATCTTTGATTCACACTATAACAATATTGACAAAAAAATAACAAATAATGTTAAATTATGAAATAACAAATAAATATACACATTTCTCTCCAATTGCTTGAAGCATGTAGGTGAAATAACAAACAAACATGGCAAAGTACAATATTACATTATGTATTTTACTTCCTAAATACATGTAAAGTCCCTTGTTCTAAGTGTCTACATAATAAAACTATTGTGTATTTTAATCATATAGTTCTACTGGTTCAAATTCTGCCATGCATTTTCATGACCAATAATTTAGACTTGACACAGGAGGATATGAAGGGTTTAAACCCAGAATATCCAGGTTGATAGTCATGTACTGGGTCACTCCTATCCCAACATTTACACCTTGGTAACTTTTTAACCTTTGTCATATAACATACAAGGGTTGTTCAAAAAGTAATAGGACTAAGGGTCTTGCATCTTCATGTTCCATTCAATTTAGAATATTTTCATATATACAGCAAAAAAATCCTGGTGGTTATTACCATTATGAGTATAACAATTGTCTCAAAATTTCAAGAAGTATTAAAAAAGTCTTTATTGAATTTAAAGTATATAACATTATATTTCCTCAATTTTAGTTTACAAAATGGACTTATAATCAATGCTGTCACATCACAACCATTGAGGCAAAAAGTGACCAGTATTACGAAAAGTATACCTAACATAGGCCTCATACCATACTCATTAGTGTCAATTTGGAGGGATCCTTTTTAGGGAAACCTCAGATAATTCCTACAGTGTAGAATAACCGTCTGAATGCAAGTGTTGTATTGCTTTGAAAATTGTACATCTTATCTCTAATTAGTGTTGTACAACTAAATCCTACCGACTGTTGAGGCATTAAGCAATATCACCACAGATAAACATACAAATAATTCTATATTTAGCTCCATGATAAAACACATAAAATTTAACAAGGAT